TATTATGTAGTATGTAATATGCACTATGTAGTATGTACTATGCACTATATAGTATGTACTATGCACTATATAGTATGTACTATGTAGTATGTACTGCAAGGAAAATGAGCGATAGCGAACTTCAGAAACCAAGCAGCATCATACACATGAGATCAGATAGTCGTGACCTCGAACCAAAAGCAGAATTGCAACACGAGTTCCACCAAATAGGAGCACAGCAAAAGCTCATAAGTGACAATGTTGAAATAGTCTCATCATCGTCAACAAAGAACCAATGTTGACATCCTATCTGGCGCTCTGGGCCCAGACTACCAATGGCAGATCCTATATAGCCTATCTACAATGCCGCTGGTGACTTCAACAGCTCCCGGAAGTACGAGCAGATCTCGGCCGATGCCGTTCGCGTCAAGCACCAGGTATGTCAACACGAGTTCCACCAAATAAGAGCACAGCAAAAGCTCATAAGTGACAATGTTGAAATAGTCTCATCATCGCCAACAAAGAACCAATGTTGAAATCCTATCTGGCGCTCTGGGCCCAGACTACAAATGGCAGATCCTATATAGCCTATCTACAATGCCGCTGGTGACGTCAACAGCTCCCTGAAGTACGAGCAGAGCTCGGCCAATGCCGTTCGCCTCAAGCACCAGGTATGTCTCTCGTATCACTCACAACCTCGATCCCCCACTCACAGATGCCACGTGCACCCAAGGATCACCATGCGCCCCATCCAGCTATGCAGCGCAGCTCGGCTATGGCTGCCTGCCTCTCCCTGCTCGCCCGTGGGTGCGTGAGCCTGGCCAGCGTTTAGCGCAGCAGTGCTTGCACAGCATGCAGCCAGTGCCCGAATACCGAATGCGGGGGCAGGGCCTTTCCTAAATGGAAGTGCCCTGCCAGCTGCGTGCGGCCAGGCTGTGCTGCCTCGGCCCAGAAGCTTCCGGTAGGACCCGAGAGGCTGAGCCCCGGTCCTAACAAATCAGGCCCGGGGCCTGTGACGGTTGCTTGTGCCCAACTGCCCGCAGTCTGGGTTCGGCCCATGTTGTGAATCTGGCCCAGGGCATGCCTTAGTTGCATACGAAAAAGGCAGCCAGGGCCTGGGCGGTCTCAACCAACTGGCGCTGCGCAACTGCCTGAATTTTCCCCAATTGCGTGGTAGCCTGAAATTAGGCCTTGTGGCCTTGTTCAGGCCTGCCTTCACTTAGGGCGGCCGACTGTGCTGCTTGCAGGGTCAAAAGGGGTTCATCGGGGCCTTATGCCTCACAGTACTATGCGCTACGTACTATGTGCACTATGTAGGGTACCTCACTTTCATGTGCTATGTACTATGCACTATGTACTATGTACTACTATGCACTGTGTAGTATGTACTATGCACTATATAGTATGTACTATGTAGTATTTATAATAATTTTATATATGTAGTATGTACTACATGCACTATGTAGTATACCTCACTGTTATGTGCTATGTACTATACACTATGCACTATGTAGTATGTACTACGCGCTATGTACTATATGCACTCTGTAGGGTACCTCACTTTCATGTGCTATGTGCTATGTACTATGCACTATGTACTATGTACTATGCAGTATGTAGTACAGTATTTATAATAATTTTATATATGTAGTATGTACTATATGCACTATGTAGTATACCTCACTTTTATGTGCTATGTACTATGCACCATGTAGTATGCACTATGCAGTATGCACTATGCAGTATGCACTATGTAGTATGTAGTATGTAGTATGTAGTATGTAGTATGTACTATGTACTATAGCTCAATTTATATCAGTATTTCCGGAGTTTTTATTTGCTTCGATTGTAGGCGAAATTGAAGTTGCTTTGTGCACACCGCCTGCCCTTTGGTCATAGGAGTGTAACTGCACATTCTGACCTGCTGTCCTGCAGAGACCTGCAGAGAGTTGAAGATTGAGTGCCAATAGACCTGCTGTGTGCCCGCAATGGACAGATCCGAAGCTCTTGAAGGCATTAGCTGACGCTACACCGGAAGTCGTTGAGTTCATTACAACCATGGCCATCTGCAACACTGTGGTCCCAATCAGAAGGTACGGTCGGGATCTGGATCACCTCTCCCTTCCTGCTGTACACTATCTGTGTGAAATTCGCCTTTTTATGGAATTTGGCTTTCAAACCTATGGGGCCCTTGCTACCCTAATCCAGATGCAATTTGCCTGGTAATCCCTCCCGCCCCCACCTTTACCCAAATCTAGATGTAATTTGCCTTTCAGCACCCCCCTCAAACAGTGTTTTTTGTTGTTCGCCCCCCTGGAACAGGCATGACTTTTTTACCCCCATTTGACGTACCCAAAATAGCAAAATATCCATACGGCTACCCACTGGTTCAGATTCTTCAGAAAGACATCTCCCCCAACCCCCCCCCCCCCCCCCCACCCACCCACCCACCCAAAAAAAGAAAAGAAAGAAGGCATCTCTGTGGGCCGTGTCTGAACTCTTCCAGAATTCAAGCTAGGTGTTTCTACACCTGTCTGGCCCGGACGACTCGTTGGTCAGTTATAGCGCAATGTAGCTGGACGAGCCGTTGGTGTTGCATTGGTGCGGACTCAAACTAGCCGGTCGGTCAGTCTAGGACAATCAAGCTTCCATCGGCGTACCTTGTGCATTTGGGACAACTTCCAGGTTATATGCAGCGATAATGAGAGTGTGTGTTCTATTTCAGGGATCACAGCAGGGCTGGTCTGGCCCAGACAAGCTAGCTTGACGACTGGTCCAGATGACTCTGTAATGTAACTTTTTTGCTTATTTGTTAGCTGAACTTAGCTCATCGTTGTTGTTGTTGTTTTTAATGAACTTGGTAATTACTGCTCATTTTGCATTGGTTGGTTGTTATCTCAGTCATAATATTCCCTTTCGTCTCTTCCCGTTATCATCGTTTTTTTCACCTTCTTTCGCTACAGTGAAAACGGGGCAATTCAATACAAAGCGGCATCACAGGATGAGGAGGCACTTGTAACAGCTGCAGCGAAGCTCCATGTGACACTGTGTTCAAGGCAGGGATCATTAATTGGTGGGTAGTCCCTCATCGTTTCTCCTTATCCTCTGGCTTTAGCTTTGTCTTGGGTTTAGCTTTGTCTTCCTTGCACTCACCTTGTTGTTTCGTCTATTCTTCCTCTTTGATCTTGGCCGTTTCTTTGTTGTCCCTGTCCTTCATCTTTGCCTTTGCCTTGGACTGTATGTTCCTCTTTACATTTGCCTTTTTTATTTTCCTCTCTTTTGTTTTGTAATTGCCTTCCCCCTTGTCCTTGCATTTCCTTTGTCCCTGAACTCGTCCTTCTTCCCATCCCTGTCGCTGTCCTCCTTCCACCTTCCATCTTCCCTCCTTCTCTGCCTTCCCTTCCTGCCTGCCTCCCTCCCTCTCTCGCTCCCTCCTCTACATCTCTCCCTCCCTC